GATTTCCCAATCCTGGGGGGGGCTACACCCCTTCTCCCCACCCCCACCCAAGTTTCGCATGTATGTATATGCATATTTAATAGGGTAACAAACCACATGACAACCATTATATTTAGATGGATATTTAAACTCCCTACCCCTACCCATTCCCCCCCTCCCATCCCTTATCTCACAATACACCCTACCCATATATGTAGAATACCCCCTTGTATTTCTTATGTCAAAATAATAAAATCTGTGTTTATTTATTTTTAAATTCTTTATTTGAAACAAATTAACTCATGTTTAGAGGGCCTTCGATGATTTAAAATCGATTTGATCGTTTTTCTCGCCAAAAAAGAATGCGAAAAAAATTGTCAAACTTTGTTTAATTCTAGAAAAGTAAACTTCCTAAAAAGTTAAATAAAGAGGAATGCTGTGAAAGGGTAACGTTGTGAGTCGAATGGTCACTTGAAATTACGTCTTCAGTCCCTTTAAAAATTAAAAAATCGAAATATTTAAAGATTATGGATTAACTAAGAGACGTGACGTATAGACGTCTAAAAAATCCGGCCAATCTCTGATATTTTGAAAAATAATCTCCCTGGGCACATATTGGGGGGAATTGTGTCAATTTAGACTTTTTTGACATTTTGTGAGAAATTATATCTTTGTTTTTAGTTCTTTCCTCTTATTCCTGTTATTTTGTTGTTAGTCTTGATATTTTTTCTTTCTTTGAGTCTTTTTTTTCTATTATTTCATTCTTTTCGTTTTTCTTTTTCTTATATATTTGTTTATCTATCTATCCATATATTTATCTCTCTTTCTATTAATCTATCTATTTTATCACTCCATCTAGCTATTTATCTACCTATATATAAGTGAATTCATCTATCTAATTGTCTATCTTTTAGTGCGTCTATCGATCTATTTATCTTGAATTTACAACATTTTCACATTTTTCTATTTAACTACTTATCTATCAATCAATATATCTATGTATTAGACTCCATCTATCTATATGTATCAATCTATTAGTGTATCAATTTCTCAATTTCTCTATCTGCTAATCTTTTTAATTCGTGTATTTATTTATATCTATCCATACATCTATCTATTTACCATCCATCTATCTAACTACATATCTGTCTATCAATCTATCTATCTATTTACAAGATAATCAGCTGACTCCTGGTGAAAGTTTTGGGAAAATATCAGGGGTTCGTTTCATGGGAGGGGCTGATGTTACAGGGGTTCATTTCACGGGAGGGTTTGACAGGGGTTTATTTCATAGAAGGGTTTGAGGTTACAGGGTTCCATTTCAGGGGATTATGGGTGATTTGTAAATTCACTAAGAGCTAAAAATAACGACTTTGTGACGAAAGTTGGACCTAAAGATGAACGAAATTAAGGACGAGGTGGGACCTAAAGACGAACGAAATTAAGGACGAAGTGGGACATAAAGACGAACGAAATGAAGGACGAAGTGGGACCTAAAGACGAACGAAATGAAGGACTAAGTGGGACCGAAAGACGAACGAAATGAAGGACGAAGTGGGACCTAAAGACGAGCTAAATTAAGGACGAAGTGGGACCTAAAGACAAAAGAAATGCATGGATGACGAACGATTTAACGATGGAATGATTACACAGAGTTCTAGAGATAAGAGAAGGGAGTGAAAGGGGGATAATGAAAGTGAATTAAGAAGAAGTCAGGATCATTAAGAAAAAGGGAAAAAGATTTTTGACACAAAAATGAATAAAATTACTATAAACTGTTGGAAGTCATGAAAATTGAAAAACAGCTATTTTAAGAAAGAAAGAAAAATGTAAAATTAAATAATTTGATGGAACAAGAAAAAGAACGAAAAATGAAAGGAAATGGTAAGTTTAATTTTCTAGGAAGGGGGATGGAAAGGGAAAGTAAAGAAGGGGGGAGGGGAAATAAAAGAAAGTATAGACGAATAAAATGGAAAGTTAGTATTGAATGGGTTAGAAAGGGAAAAGAAAAATTTTAAAAAAAAGAAAGGAATGGTAAAGGTAAGAAGGATAAATGGATAAATGAAAGGAAATGTGAATATGTAGAATGTCGTAAATTAAATAGAATTAAAAAAGAAAGAGAATGGACAAGGAAGAAAATGTAGAATGAAAAAGTAAAAAAATATGACGAAAATGGAAAGTAAATTTGGGTATTTAGAAAGTAAAAATAACTGTTTAATATGTTAGAAAGAGAAAAGGCAAATGAAAAAGATATGGAAAGGAAAAATAAAAACGTTGAATGAAAAAAGTAGAAAAAATCTAGGAAATAGAAAGTAAAAGTAAATATGTAGAAAGTCGGAAGGAATTCTAATAATCAAAGGTGTTCGGAATCTAGGAATTTGTGAAGAGATGAGAAGAAATTTTTGGAGAAAAATTAGAAATATTTTCATAAATATTTTTCCTGAAATGAATTGGTCTCTAATTGCATTGACCCTTATATAGATTTGTACTCTCCTCTCCTGAATTTTGTTACATCTGTTCAGATTAAAGTATTCATAGTGCTAGGGTCCTAATCATCGAGGATATACAGGGTTACCCACAAAGAATGAGACGTTAAAAACTATCTAAAGATCATTGAAGATTAGGATCTAAATATTATATTTGGTTTTCTGTTTTAAATAAATAAATTCTGTACAGTCGTCTCTGAAGTATCATCCTTTATGGGTATCCCTGTTGTATAGTCATAACAATAAAGATCCATCTGAAGACTAAAATTTTTAATTCAGTCCATTAAAAAATTCTTTGGCTATGTCTACTTCAAAGATTTAAAAATACTATAATTGTTATGATACCTTTCATTTAATTTTAATTTTGAATTGTTTTTTCATGTCGTACCTGAGATATCAAAAAATATGTAGTGAAACTGATTTTTTCCTGGTAAGGATTACAGAAATGAAAAATAAATACGAATTTATCAATAAAATTTATATTTTTGTGAAATTACAATTATAATCGAATTGAAGCGTAAAATTTTGAAATAAACATTATTAACTAATTAAGAAATAGATTATTTATTAATTTATTTAATTTTTTATCTATCTATCTGTTCATACATGTATTTATCTATTGCATACTTTTACTTTTTTCCAGTTTTTATTCGAAATGTCTGAAAGTACTTTGAATTACAACAATATGATTGTATATCTATTTATTTTATACTTTTACTTTCCATTATTTATATTTAAAATGGTAGAAACTGTACTTTGAATTACAACAATATGATTGTATATCTATTTATTTTATACTTTTACTTTCCATTATTTATATTTAAAATGGTAGAAACTATACTTTGAATTACAACAATATGATTGTATATCTATTTATTTTATTCTTTTACTTTCCATTATTTATATTTAAAATGGTAGAAACTGTACTTTGAATATTACAATATAATTTTATATCTATTTATTCCTACATCTATTTATCTATTTTGTTGATACATGTTTTTATTTATCTGTTATAAACTTTTACTTTCTTCCATTATTTAAATTCAAAATTTGAGAATCTTAACTTTGAATTACAATTAAACATTAGAATTCTTATCAACGTGTCTGTTCCTGACAATTGTTTAAATCAATATTGAATTCGGAATATTGGCAAATCTTGGTGGGGAGAGAGTTTTTTATCGTGCGTGGAGGTATTACGCAAAGTACAGAGGGGGGGGGGTCTTGATTGACTAAAGCGTAAAGATATTAATTTTTAATTTTCTCTTGGATTTAAATATATTTTTAGACAATTAATATGAATATGTATATTAATTATAAACTCTAGAGTTTTATTTAAACAAGTGTAATGTAGGTCACCCCTTGATAATCCGCCCCTGTACTGTCCTGCCCCTGAATAGGCCCACCGTACGTGAATATCAAACAAAAATCCCCCATCCCTCAAAACCAATTTATTTCGCGGATTTGCAGAAATTGTCAAATTTGCGTACGGAGGTGTGCGTAAGTGAATCCAAGCTGTTGTGGACCCGGTCCGGACTCCGCAGCCCAGAGTCCAGGCAGTTGGGGAAAAGTAGGTCAGGACCCATGCCGACTGCCTGGCCTGTGACTGCCTGATGTACCGGACCAGACACAATTCTACTTTCACTCATAGACTTAATACACCATTCTGTGTAGAGCCCTCAGTTAAGGCGGAGCTGTATAGTAGTATTTACTATCTATATGGTGACACAGAATTTAAGATTTTAACAGTGATTAAAAACAGAGTGTCCAATAATTAATTAAATAAAAATGCCGGTTTGGACCAGTGAAAATTCGGATATAAAACTTCCCTGTTGTCTGAGGGATATTACATAGTGATTTGTAAATATATATTTACACGCACACAGTACACGAGAAATTATCGCGGATTTTAGTTGAATTAGTTTCCCGGATTTATTATTTGTGATGATGATGGAACTACCGATGAGTAGCGGTCAATTCAGTCTGACTGGCATGGTGGATGTCGTCGATTCCATGGCAGCTATCCATCCATCCCAATTATCCATTAATAGTTCCCAACTTTCCATTAACAATTCCCAACTATCCATTGGGACATCCCAGAACAATATTGGTAGTTCCCAACTATCTATTGGGACAGTGTCCCCATCTATAAACTCCAATTCTATGGATATAGGACAGTACGGGTTGAATCAACAGAATAATATGATTTCTTCACATATATCTAGTCTAATGACAGATCCTTGTATTTTCACAGGTACATAGCCCCTGGCATAAACATGTACAATGTACATGTACCTGGATACATTAAAGTACATGGAAAAAAACAATAATAATACTTTTACATACCGTCGTACATACTAAATATTTATGTATTCACTTCATTTTCGATTATCTTATTTTTTACTTTTTTATATACCTTTATCTCATTTTTAAATTTTTTTCGGTTTACTCTTTTTTGCAATATTTTTAAATTTTGATCCATTTATATCTAAAGAAATTAATTGTGTTCCATATTTGTGTTAGGTTTGTGTTTGTTCTCTTGTATACACCTGTGTGTTTACAATAGTCCTAAAGTTGTCAGTGTTTACAGTGTACAGAAATATTGTGTTTACAGTGTACAGAAATATTGTGTTTACAGTGTACAGAAATATTGTGTTTAAAGTGTACAGAAATATTGTGTTTACAGTGTACAGAAATATTGTGTTCACAGTGTATCTAAATTGTGTGTTTACAGTGTATTAAAATTGTGTGTTTAGAGTGTGCCAAAATTTCTTGTTTATGGTGTTTCAAAATTCTGTGTTTCAAGTGAACCAAAATTGTGTGCTACAGTGTTACTGCGCTCCAAAATTCTTATTCTGTGTAACAAAATTTTGAGTAAACAATTGTGTCTTCATTATACCAAAATTATGTATTTAGTGAGTAGTGCTAATATGTTTCAAAATTAAGGCTATTGATTTAAAACTCTATTTTGTCCAATTAGTATTGAAATTGGTTGAATAAAAAAATAAAAAGTCATAATACAATTGTCAATATACAAATAGGGTTTATCTTCACTGCAAGTAAAATGTCTGTGACATTACTTTTACAGTTTTTAACCCTTTGAGCTCCTCCATTTTGATTTTATAAATTTATTTGGTTCCATATTAGAATTTCAAATCTCGATAACTCTTCAATTTTAGAAGTTCTGATTGAAAACATAAAAGATATCGATTGTATGTTCAATTTACTTTAGTTTGATGCAAGGTAGTAATGCAAGAAAAGTTAATTGCAGGCCTGTATACTCTGCGTACATATTGAAACCAGTTCTCTCTGGGCGGAATTTGTAAACAAGATTATATGCCTCAGTGTTCGCCTAGTATCCGAGGAGGTTAAAAGCATTAAATTTTGAAAATTTTAAAAAATTCGCATAATAGTTTCCTATGACCAGAATATTTCATTGATTTTTATGTGAAAGATGGATTCCATGTCACGCTTAGACATCCGTCTTGAGTTTACATCACTGCCCAGAGACGGTACACTGCAGTACAAAAGATGCATACACCTCTGAAATAACTTTCCTTCCATTATTACCTTGGTTTGATGTGTCTTATAAGATATAAGAAAGAACTACAACTGTGTTTAAATTCTACAATTGGTTGATGTTTCAGTTTTTAAAAATATATTTATTTTATAGACTTTAATACAATGTAGATATTCTTAGTAATATACAATATACAATACACAATATACAATATACAATATACAATATACAATATACAATTTACAATATACAATATACAATATACAATGTACAATATACAATATATACATAAAAAATTATAAATGTATTATTTATTTTATATAATATACTATTTCTACTATTTTACTCTACTTCATATAGTAGTAGTAGACATATGGAGATTAATCAGTAGTCTGTAGGTACGATAGATAGATAGATAGATAGATAGATAGATAGATATTAAGAATATATGACAAGAAAGGCATATTTATATATATGCCCTAGTTAGTTATGTGATTATCTTAAACCTGCTTCAGGTAAATTTGCTTTTTTCTCAACTTTTTCTAGACAGGCAGATGCAGAAAACATAAAACCACTTGTTCTTGTAAAATATCTTATCAATTGCTATTCTAAAAGATCAAACTTTGAAATATTTATATTTTCCAACCCTTAAGAAAGACCAATTACTCTTTCTAATTATCATAAGTAATAGTTCATATGGACCATGTGTATAATGTGTATTGTGTATTTCATATGTATTTCATATCTATAGTCACATGTACTCAATGTATTATCATTATTATTATTTCTATTATTATTATTATAATTATTATTATTATTATCATTATTATTATCATTATTATTATTATTATAATTATTATTATTATTATTATTATTATTATTATTGTTATTGTTTAGGCGGTGGTATGGACTACAGTGGTATAGGACAAAGTGAACAGACGGACACTAAGGACGGATTTGAAGAATTGTGTCCTGTCTGTGGCGACAAGGAAACAAACATGATTATTAAAAGAAATTTTAAAAAATTTTAAATTTATTTTTCCAATTTTTAATTTTTTATTTTTTATTTATCTTGTTTTTTTGTAAAGGTATCCGGATACCATTACGGTCTACTGACTTGTGAGTCTTGCAAAGGATTTTTTAAGCGTACAGTACAGAACAAGAAGGTGTATACGTGCGTAGCTGACCGGAATTGCGTCATAGATAAGACGCAGCGGAAGCGTTGTCCGTACTGCAGGTTCCAGAAGTGTCTCGATGTAGGGATGAAACTTGAAGGTAAGAAATTTTAGGAAATTTTTGGACTTTTTAGGAAATTTGGGACATTTGTAGGATATTCTGGAACATTTTTAGGGCCTATGGTCCTTGGATGTTTTAAGACCATTTGGTACTTTTTGGGACGGTTGGACATCTCAAGGTGTTTCGGACATTTTAAAGACACCTGGGACTTTTTAAACAATAACTGCTGCAATTAGAAAATTATTGGAACTTTTCGGGTTTCAGTTGATTTTATGTGTTTTCGTACCAGCTGTTATAAAGCAGTTAGGTTTAGGTTATTAAACGAATTATTAGCTTAAAATACTCATTGGTTTACTTGGTTTTATTTAAAGGTTAAAACTAAAATATTTTACTCTTTCTGGCCTCACGATACAAATCTTAAATGCACAATTATTGAAATCTCAACGTTTTGCAGTAGTGTCCGTTTTGCAGTAGTGTCCGTTGGATTTTAGCACAAATTGTTTGCGAACTAATTGAAGGGCCTGCTAATGAAAGGGTGTAAAAATTCAGTTTAAATGGGATTACTTGTCTGTTTGTTACAAATAAGGAGGTTGTTTTATTTTCAAAAAGACGCCTTTTTAATCAAGCTTAATCCCCCCTTAGTAANCCACCCCTACAAAGATTGTTTACAAGTCTTAATTAGTTGAATGCAAAGTAGTAAAAACGGGCTCTTTAAAGCTTCTTTAAACTCCCTTTTATGATCAGCCGTTGTTCTTAAAGTTAAAATACTTCTTTAAAAAAAGATTTTCGGTGGCTTTAAAGTAACACATGTGTCCTCAAATTTCCCCCTTTTTGGTTCCTTTTTCTGGCATTTTTGAACCCTTTGACCTAAAAAGAGGGGGTTTAAGTTCCCGGCTGTCAGGGTTCGTTTCACAGCCGAGGGTTGCCTTTTAAATGTTAATTTTTCCACATTTCTTGAAATGAAACCCTTTATTGTATTTGCAAAAATACATTTCCTGAAGGGGTGGGGGGGGNTATCTGTAATAGTTTCAATTATATCTGATGAAGTTTCATATTTATCTGTAATAGTTTCAATTATATCTGATGAAGTTTCATATTTATCTGTAATAGTTTCAATTATATCTGATGAAGTTTCATATTTATCTGTAATAGTTTCAATTATATCTGATGAAGTTTCATATTTATCTGTAATAGTTTCAATTATATCTGATGAAGTTTCATATTTATCTGTAATAGTTTCAATTATATCTGATGAAGTTTCATATTTATCTGTTATCTTTTCACATCATCTCATTTGTTCAAGTTTCATAACTTGTCTGTTAGAGTTTCACATCTGTTCTGTCTGTTAGAGTTTCACATCTGTTCTGTCTGTTCAAATTTCGTTTGTCTTTCTCACTCTCCTCTTAAGCCTACTTCATCTTCGGTCATTGTATTGCATTTTACTGCAGTACACACCGACAGCTTAGTTGATGGTGTTCTGTCTATTTAAATTTCCTGTCTGTCTATTTTATTGTCTGTTTTTCAGTCTGTTGTGCACGTGTCTGTGTGCTTAAAGCGCACCCTGAGGGTGCAGCGCACTCAAGTTCTCAAAGAGACCTTTTAACCCCAGGTCCTTAAACCCCCCATTTTTAGCCACATTTAGAGCTTTAATCAGCCATAAACTTTAAGAAGAATTATTATAGTTTATATATCCCCCCCCCTTCACCCTGGATTTATATTTCGTTCTGACCGTTTTTAAAGAACCCCCCTGCCCCCCCCCTCACATAATTCTTTCATGCTTTAAACGGGCAGTTCCTTGGAGAAATTTAAAAAACCATTCCCCTAGCTC